TCTCTAACATTCTGTGATTCTGTGAACGCTGTCTCAAATTTGTGCAAACTGAACATTTGTATTCTGATGTTAAGTCTTTGCCAATTTTCAAAGAGGGGGCTGATCTGCATCTCTGAGCTTGCCTTCTCTCTTTCCCCGACTCATGTCACCGTTACCTCTGGTTTGAGAGCGATTGGCATCCCTGTGGGTTATACCTGCCACTGTTTGGTCTGTCTGCAGCTTCTGGAGTACTGACCAAACGCCTGGCAGCAGCTTGTCGCAGGGAGATTGCCATGTTCTTTGCAGCAGCAGGTCGAGGTAATGGATCGTGTCTGTTCTTCTGACCCTGGGGAGTTAGCTGGGCGCTCCTGGGGGCAGCGGCAGCCCTCTCCCCCTTGTCTCTGGCAGGGCTGCTGCGCTGAAGCCTGCTCTGCTGGTTGGCCGGCTCACGGTTACTGGGGTGGAGCAGACTGTTCGTTAGGACACTGTTCTGCCCTTTGAGGTGTTTACAGCGATTCCAGGGAATTCTCTCCTTTGAGGATGGTGGGCAGAGCTGATGATTGCATCCTGTGTCAGAAAGCGAGGAGGACCCCGACAGAAGCGGTGCAGCCGTGGATGTGGGGTGCCGTTAGGGACCCCAGCTCTTTGGCTGCTTGTGTTCCCAGCTCCTTTGGTCTCAGCAGATCCATGAGCATGGATCAGTCCTCGAGCGTGGAGTCTGACGTTTTGTGCATCTCTTTTTGTAGTGACAGGTGAGAGTGGGTCTGTTTGCCTCTCAACACCAGGAGATGCCTCACAGATCTTCCTTGGAAGCTATTTAATTTTGCTAGCTGACTTAGTTTTGATTTTTAAACTGAAGAATAACCTATAATGAAGGAGGGAGAGCCATACATTAATTTGTTTGTCCCTCTTGTTTAGTTGCTGATCGGTAATATGTGCCAGCTGGCTTACAGATAAATGCTTTTAGTACTAAAGTTATTTGGGGAAACACTAATATTCAGCGTGATTAGCTGTTAGAGCAGATTTGTGATCGTACTCCTACCAGACCTTGCTATAAACCTACCAGCTGTGTGGGAATGTGTATTAAGAAAAATCATGCAGTCATTTTATGCGGAGTGACTAAATGTCATATGGCTCCCTGGTGAGGATTTGTAAAACTGTTCCACAGGTAGGGAGAAGTGTTCATGAAACCAGGGATTAACTAGAGCCGTCTCTTTGTCTCATTCCCATGATCATGTGGAAACCATGCTTTAAGTGTCAGTTTTAAACGCAGTCCGCTGCTTAGTGGTAGAGCGAAGCCGAGTCCCGTTGAGCCCCTAAAGCCATGGCGAAGGCTTCCCAGGTGAGTGACTCCCGTCAGTTTGCCGTTGTGGAAGGGTTGATGCCTCGAGTGGATGTGTTTGTCCTGCCTTCAGCGTGGTTCAGCTTCGTCAGCTCCCGTGTTACAGTCAGAGACGCACACCTGGAGCCAGGGGCTGGCTGCCCCAGCTGCCTTCTCAGCACCGGGAGCTCTCTGCCTCCCTTCTCCACCTGCCTCTCTGTTTCCAGGACATCACAGGCTTTTGGAGCTGGTGCTGTGTGTTGTGTGCTGGGCTGCCTCCCCTGTGGGCCGTACCTGGTCTGTGTACCAGCCACCACCAGCGTTCAGTCCGTCAGGACCGCTCATATTCAGTTGTCACCTCAGTTCTCTGGTGTGACAGGGACTGATATTCTTTCTGGAAGACCCGAGATAGGCAAATAAAAGGAAATCACTGCTCTGCAGTGTCCTGTAATGTAGGAACTTGTGTTGTGCCCTTGTAGGACCAAAATCTCTCTGTTGTTAGCTGTGACATCTGCGATAACCCTGCTGCCATATCCCCTTCAGAAGGAACTAGTTGGTACCGTAGATACATCTCAGTTCAGGGGGTGGTTGAGTGTTTCTTCTTTCTCCCCATTTCCTGCAAGATCTTTCAGTGACAGCTCATTTCCAGGTGGACTGTTCTTACACCAGGAAGGACGTGAAATGTGCACGCTGTTCATCACACGTGTCTTCTGGTAACACCTTAAACAAGAAGCAGGCTCTCTGTGTTCTCTTAACGTGAACGAATCATGTGTCATAACATCCTGGATGCTGCTTGTGGCACCACATCTTCCCAGGAGCCTGCAGGTTTATTCCAGAACCATTCTACTGCCGAGAGGCTTGATAGGAAATAGTAGGATACACGTGAAGTGCATTTCCCATGTTCACCTCCTGCTGCTTTATCCTCAGCTGTGACTTCTGGATCAGGTGAGACGTTCTCCTCTAGGTTCAAAGCAATCCTGTAATGTTCCTCAGTCTTCTGGAGAAACATCTGCTGCTGTCCTTGGCTGCAGTCTGGTTTGTGAATTAATTAAGACTGTCTGTTTTGTGAGATCCTCTTCTTCTCATCCATTGCGCTGAGGCAGGAGCCCTGAAGTTGTGGACCATGGTCTTTTTTCCTTTCTATCCTCTTTCCTCCACCAGCAACCGCCGTAAGTGGCCTCTTGCTTTCGACATGATGAAACTTGAGATCTGTGGGGATCGGGCACGGTTGGCAGTGACTGTGGAGTACCTCGTGTCCCACTTTGCTTTCTGCCCCCTTTCAGGGGCTGTTCAATTAGTTCTGCGTTACTGAGCGTAACCTGGATCGTGTTAGGATAAGCCCAGGTGTACCTCTGGGTGCTTCAAGTTATAACTTTCTGCTGCCTGGTCTGGAGAAGAGCTGGTCAATCTGTTGCTACAGAAAAGCAGTTACGACCTCTTGTCATTGCTTTTTTGGGCAAGACTACTCTTAACGCTTACTTTTCAGCTTTCTGAAGACGTGTCCTTCAAACTCTTAAATGTGGCTGTCGTGTTATACAGCATGTGTGAATTTCGTTGTCCTCATCCCCCAAAGCTTGCAAGGAGTTCGAGCTGTTTTAAAGAGACTATGAGAGTTTTTAAAGAAATGCAGGGATTTTCAGTGGAGATGCATTTGCTGCATTTTTGATCTTGTCGTAGAACATGGATATAAGAGAAATAAGGGTCTCTATCAGAAATAATATGTTCCAATTGATTAAGGACTCATTCTGAATGGAAGAATATGTATTGCCAAACTTACCGTATGTTTAATATATTGGGGGGGGACCTTGCTGTTCTGAAATGTGCTGTTTCTGTTTTGTGTTTTTTTTTTTTTTCAAGTTTCCTTATACACTTTCGACAAGGCTAAGCAGTGTATCGGCACGATGACAATCGAGATCGATTTCCTGCAGAAGAAGAACATTGACTCCAACCCCTACGACACAGACAAGATGGCAGCTGAGTTCATCCAGCAGTTCAACAGCCAAGCCTTCACCGTAGGCCAGCAGGTGTGGCTTCGGTTTTGGTTTTTAAAGCTGAAATGTTCTTAAGTAACACACATCCTTGTGCTACAGTGATGTAAAATGCTGACCTGTGCCTCAATACTGGCTCTGTGCTGGAAAGGACAGCCCATAGGCAGAAATTCTGTATTCTGTGAATGGTTTCTTTATGAAAAGCTGAACCATCAGGACTTTCACTGAGAGCATGAGCAGAGTGGTTTAAAATCCGCCTTTTTCTTATTTGAAGAAATCTGTTTGTCCTTGTGAAGGAAAATCCCAAGGTTTGAGAGGGCTGGGTTCTCTGTGGTGTGGCCTGGCTGGATAGAAGCATGGCAGCTCCTGCAGTCTCTTGAGAAGTAGCTTTTGTCTTCCCTCTGTGTCAGATCAAAATGAACACCCGGTTTAGTTAATCCTCGGTAGCACCTTTCAAGCGCAGTGTATTTTATTGTAACATTTGCCACTGCTCTGTGTACCCCAGCAGTGAAAGAGGTGCGAAGCACTTGACTTAGGGATTTCTGAAAGCTGGTGTCTCTAAAATTGAACTTTCTCAGCTCTGCAGCATCTGGGCTTCTGCCCCTGCGAACATCTCCCATAGCCTCTGGTTTGCCATATTCCCAGGGCAGGTTGAGGTCTGCCTTTCATAGCAGTTTACAACTTGCAGGGTCTGAATCTTAAGTCAGTTGGAAATGTAGTTTTGAAGGAAAGGAATCGTGCAGCGACAGTCTGCTTTTCTGTGGGATGGACCTTACATATCGTAATATTCATTCTGTCTCTCACTACTGCAGCACTATTTTTGAGGTGTCCCTGTCAAACTGAAATAGGAAAGATCAAACAAGTTTGAGCTAAATTGTTCTCCTTGCCTAAAACCAATCTTTAAAGTGAGAGGAAAATGTCCAGAGATGGTATAGAACATTTAGCTGGGGAGAAAAGGGTGGGAAAGAGAAGCTTTTCTTGGAAGGAGAATTTTTTGTAAAATTTTTCCACTTCATGTTCTGCTGCTACTGTGAAGTATGAGATGTGAAAAGGACACCAGACCTTTACAGGATAAAAACTACATGGAATTTGTTCAAATCTCAGCCTTGTCAAAGTCGTTTTTAGCTTTTTAATGAGTTAAAATCCCCTTCTCTTTTTTTCTTTCCACAGCTTGTGTTCAGTTTTAATGACAAACTTTTTGGCCTATTAGTGAAGGACATGGAAGCTATGGACCCCAGCATCCTCAAAGGCGAGTCTGGAGCAAGCAAGAAGCAGAAGGTAGGCTCCCAGGAATTCATGTTCGTTCCCTAGGGACTGCAGAGACTCAAGTACTGATCAGATCCTGCTACAAGGAGGAATTGGGTTACTTACATTTGGAGAAGTTGCACACTTGTTTCATCTGGCTGCTTCGTTTCCATCGGAGAAGATAGTTGTTGTTTTTGGAGCGTTGTTTTCAGTTTAGGGCAGTCTCCTGTGCTTGTGTAGCTGGGAGCTTACAGCTGCACCCACTAAAGTGCAGAGCTGGGAAGATACAAGGAACAGCTTTTGGTCTTTATGTACTAATTCATGGAACCATCCTCTTTTGAGCCTTTTTGTTTTCCACATGTGTCCAGTTTTGATTTTTCCTTCTGCTTTTATTTTTTCTTTACTTGATAGATTTTGCTGAAATAAAATCGTTGGTTTTGAACTAAAAAAAACCTTAAAAAATACAATTTATTATGCTTGATGAGCTGCTGCGTTCAACGATGTTCCTTTTAGAGGAGTTGTTGCTATTTCACATTCTTACCAGTGACTTCTGTAGTGGAGCTTTTCCTGCTGTTTCTTGCCCTCAGAGATGAGCTTGGAGATACCGAAGGAGCAATGTGAAGTAGAGCCAAATAGCTTACTGTAATTATTTGTTTCCTTCCCTTTTGCAGATTGAGGTTGGTTTGGTTCTTGGAAACAGTCAAGTTGCCTTTGAAAAAGCTGAGAACTCCTCCCTCAATCTGATCGGTAAGTGCCCGCAGAGATAAATAACGCTTGAAGTTTGCTGCCTTTTTTTTACATCAGTTGACGTTGAAGAAGGCATCTCAAAGTGTCTCCCAGGTATCTGTTTAAACCAGCAGGTGACTGGGTTTGCGTTTAGAAAGCAGTTTGTAGATGCTCAGGACTCTCTTGAAAAGCAGAGCACTGAGAGGACACCATCCCTCCAGCAGACTTGGCTGTGTCTGAACAGCGGTTCTGTAAGAGTCACTGTCCTCCCCCATGAAGCTCCACAACTGGCTGGCGTACCAGAGCAGTCCTGTGGACCGTGCTTATCACCACGGCGTATCCGAAATATACGGGCACAGAGCGAGGAGGAGAAAAAGTGAGTGTGACTTTGAGAGGTTCTGACAACAGCAAATGGAGTGAGGTGAGTGGAGAAGTTACCCTGAGCGCTCTGGACTCCTAGGGCAGGATTAGAAAGGCACCATGGAGCAGTACCTTCAGCAAAAGTCAGCAACTAGTTGAAAATATTTCACCTCTTTAAACATCAGAGAACAGGATTTTTGGGGACACAACCAAGCCAACACCTCTTGAATTAAATGTAATTAAACCAGCAGGGAAATAGGAAATGGAGGATGTTTTTGGATGTGTAGCCAAAACGTCAAAGTGAGTGCAGAACTTCTGGAAATCCCATCTCTGGTGAGATCTCCTCAAGGAGAGAGGACAGCTTCTGAAGAGCACTTCAGTTTCCTTGACTTCAGAAAGTCCTGCCCTTCAGAAACTGCTGGCAGCCGCAGAACACAGCACAGCGGGAGTTCGTGTTAACTGTTTACACAGAGAGATTGTTAACGAAACCATGGATCTGGGAATAACCGATGTGTCCTCCGCGCGTTCGTTCAGAGGGAGGCTGGTGCAGGGCTAAGGAGGAGTCCGGTGTGTCCCCACAGAGCCACCAGCGTGAGCGATGGGGACCTGCACCACACAGTGCGCAGTGAGGAGGGTCCCCTCCCTGCGGTTGTCTCTGGGTGTGCTCTGGAGCCGTGGTGTTCCTGCAGAACAGATCCACGCGCTGTCAGTCCGGCTGTTCCTGTTCTTGTCAGTGTTACCAAGTGGACGATACTTCGCAAGCCTGCTGTTGCAGATTCCTCCCTTGCAGGGGATATGGCTCTGCACTTTCTTTTCTGGGGGTGATTCAAGTCCTGTACTTGAGCAGACGTTCTATTTTTTTTTTCTTGTTTTCCTTTCCTATTTTGTTCCCTCTTCCTGGAGGCTGTGAGCTAAGAAAACTTTTGGTTTTGCTGCTGCTCCTCCACAGATAAGCAGCGGCAGGAGAAGGCTGCTGTGAGTGGGGGCTCAGGGAACTGGCCAGCTCAGATCAGCGCTCAGTCGAGTACTCAGCTGGGCTTTAATACTTCTTGTTTTTGCAGTAGGCTTCAAAGCAGAGCTCTGCTTGACTGTGAGTGCTCAGTACTTTCAGTGTTTGCTACAGAAACAACACATAGGAGGGCAGGAGCCACTTGGGAAAGGAGAATTCAACTCAGGAGCTTGTACCAGAGGCTGAGTTTTGCTGCTGCCCTGAAGTGCCATCTTCCCTCAAATACAAAGCTGTGACTTGATGTTCTGTAGCTGTCTGCTTCACATGCTGCAGTGGCTCAAAAAAATGGGGGGGAAACGAGGCTGTTGTGTAACCACACACCTTGTGTCTGCCGTGGATGCCTTCGTCTGAAGGTGCAGGCGGTCATCTGTGCTGAAAAGCCCCAGCAGAGGCCCGTGGGCTGAGTTGTAGGTGACTGTAATCAAGCGTGTTAATAAGGACACAGGATTTAAGAGCACCAAGTGAAGCTTGCATGGACAATTAGTTCCCACCTGTGATTACATGATTACAGCCCGTTTAGTTTTTACTGTGTGTTGAGAGGACAGCTCGGGGTGAGTATTAACACGATCCCATTTATTGCGTCAGAGCCAGCAGCGGTATTTTCCTTGGTTAATATTCAAAACCATGTAACGACCTGTGATCTTCCTCCGAGCGTGTGTAGGTGTGAAGAATGGTCCTGTGGGAGAGCTGATTGATTGGGAACAGGAATCCTCCATCGTGGGTCCATTTCATTGCCTGCAGGCGGGACAGAATAGCTGCTTATGCCTCAATTTACTTCTGTCAGAGTGGTGCTTTATTTAATCTCCTCATTGATCTGAGGCAGAGCTACTTAATGTGCTTTGTTAGTCTCTGGAGACTTGTAAAGTTGTGAATAATTAAATTCAGAGAGAGGAGGTAAAAGTAAAGTAAGTGTCACTGAGCACTGCCTTCAATAAAGGGCTTTGATATTTTTCAATAGAAAAGAATTGTGGTCATTAAAAACCAGCCAATTCTATTTCTTCTATGTAACGTAAAATCCTAGGTTATAAACCCAATGTTTTAATTCCATCTGCAAGAATTTCCTTGTGATCAGGTTCAGCCAGAAGAGGGGGGTGTAGGCTAAGCTCTACAGGAAGAGGAACATCCCTCCCTGCCCGAGCTGCGGTGGAGCAATGAGATAAGGAACACGCAGTGATCCCTGCCCTGCACGGTCCTGCGCGCTGTGCACTCCACCGTGCTGCCCCTAACGCGTGTGTTCGAGGTGTGTTCTTGTTGGTTTATTTTGCTGCTCTTGGCATGGCAGCATTGATTCGGGCTGTGTTTAGACCAAGATTAAGAGCAGTCTAGTTCAGCCAACACAGAACTTTCATTTAGTGACTTCTGGATGCTCACTCATTACCCGGCTCAACTTGAAACATCTCTAGAAGCGGTTGTGGAACAAATCAGCAAAATGCACAGTTGTGGTTTGCCAGGACTGGCTTTTTAGGGGAGGTAATGGTCCCCAGGGCCCATCCTGTAAAGCACCGTGTGAGTCTAAGAAGATACAGAACATCCAATTTCTGCGTGCGTTAAGGGTAATCTTCAGGCTTTGCTTGCTCCCTGGGTTTTCATATCACTGTTGATGTCTCTGGTGGCTAAGCAAAGTGAGGCTGCTGGAAGCCATTTGGAAGTGTCAGCGTAACCCATCGGAGTGTCTGTGCTTCTTTATAGAATCCTAGAATCATAAAGGTTGGAAAAGACCTCAGGGATCAAGCGCCCCTGGACTCGGCACTGGTGAGGCCGC